GCGTTGGTCGGTAGAAAACGAGTAGTGGTGGAGACGGTGGGAACGAATCAACGCGACGTTTTCGTCTAACGAATTTTCATCGCGTTGGTCCGAAGACGTTAGATGTTCTCGAGCGAAGCCTAATAAGGAAACCCTGGTAACTGGGAAAGCTAGGCAAGACTAAACTCTCGCTTCGCGGTGGTCTTCGACTATTCTAGAATATTCATCTTCGAGGAGTAAAAATCAATCGCGTACGTAACAATAAACATAAATTCATTTCGAATTTAAAAATATAAATCAGCTATGAAAAGGGTTTTTAATCTTCACACGTAAAATTGTACTAAAAATTCTTTATTTTTTAACGAAGATCCGTATAATTCTCTTCTTAAAATTTTCCAATTATACTTCGCTTGTTGCTAACTAGAATTTGCAGAACTTAATCTCAAAATTAAAATAAACTTAAAATTCCAACACGACATATTTTAATTCAATCTGAGTAAACATAGAATAATAACTCAGATCAGGCCCAATTATATTTACAATTCTTTGTAAGAATTTGTCATATATTTTTGTTGCTGAAATCTACAGCAATTTTTTTACAAAACATAATTAATGTGTAAACGTATAAATTGAGGTTGAAATAAGTATATTCATATTTCAATATTTTGAACTGAATTTGTCATGCAGATTTATGAAATTTTGAATTTCTTAATGACCTACAAAATATACCCAAGATTAGTAATGTATACCCTGAGCACCACTCTATTCTTATATTTCCAGCTGTAAAATAATAAAATCTCTTCAACTACTTTTCACATATCATAACGTAACAAAATCGTAAACTTAAATTAAAGAATAAAACCATGTTGTTCCTCGCTAAAAACTAATACGACTGACCATCTCTGTTTTTAACACTACGTAAAAATATACATATGCTACTTGATGGATGGAATATCTGGTGTTTATTGTGCAGGAACGAATTGTACTACAACCTCACGTCCGCAGTCACCAGGCTTAACGGAGATGGAAGTGCTAAACAGTAAGGCTTATAAATTTCTCCTCGTCTATTCACGAAATCACCACCATAAGCCACCATCGTTTATGAGATTAGAAACTTTAACAAAATCGATAATGTTATCTGTCTTGCGTGTGAAATTTCGATTCTTTGACATATCTTGCCCCACATAAATGCATTTCGCTTTTGGTCGAAAATTCCTGTAGATCTTCGAGGTTGCGGTATTCTTAAGGACAGTGTCTCACGGCGGTCATCTTGCTTGTTTACATCAGCGTCTCACTCACGTTTTTTAGATTTCTCTTTAAGGATAGTGTCTCGCGGCGGGCATCTTGCTTGTTTACATCAGCGTCTGTCTCACTTATGCATCTTCGACAATTCGACTTTATTCAGTATAGAGTATTTATTGCTGTCTAAAGCGACCAAAGCACCCTGTGGTGAAGTCCACTGATGGGTGCTGTACTCACACCAATGCGATGTGCGAAGGAGACGCGGCGATTTCGTAGATTCGACTTTAGCGCTCGAATATTGCGAAAATGAAGTTTTTACGAGTACAGCACCCATCAGTGGACTTCACTACAGGGTGCTCTGGTCGCTTTAGACAGCAATAAATACTCTATACTGAATAAAATCGAATTGTCGAAGATGCATAAGTGAGACAGACGCTGATGTAAACAAGCAAGATGCCCGCCGCGAGACACTATCCTTAAAGAGAAATCTAAAAAACGCGATATAATGCACGTCCCTTTTGGATTGATCGAACTGAACGAATCAGTTTCGAAAGGAATTCACGTGTATCGAACAAAGCGATTGTACTTTTGAAACAAAATTCGCTGTTTGATACCTTGAAATTGAGACTCTTGGTAAAGTTCAATAACGGAATTGTATTTCGATATTATTGATGGCACAACCGGGTCAATCGTAATCCAGCCGTTTGAAACGTATTATTGACCCTTTGATTATCAAGTAACTAACAGATTTCTGAACAGAAAATCTTCGTTTGTTGCAAACTAGTATTCAGAGGAATAGCTTGGAAACTCAAGCTCGAAAATTCAAAATAAAATTGTTTCAAACTTTAAATTGGCCAACAAACAATTCCATGCTTAACTTATTAATTTCCAACGAAAATATTTATAAAGTATCACTTTATGTCATAAAACAGTGTTTTTATACGTGGCGTTATATATTAATGGGGCAGTTAATATTTGTTCAGAGTAGCTATGGCGATAAAAAAGTTAATCCACCATAGTTTGCATCGGACAACTTTTTTAGGTTGGGTACATTTTGTGCAGTTTCAAGTATAACTGGTTTAATTTAGCATGAAACTGTGTATAAACGTTTTAATTATTTTAAAATAATCAGCTAATTAATTTCAAAGTTTAGTATACTACAACTGTATAAAATCATACACGTGAATTTTATTTCGTTTCGAAAACTTGTCCGGCAGCAACCACAGTTAGCTTATTTCTAGCAATTGTTTTCGCGTTTATTTCTGCACTGCATTGCACTTTTAGACTGTTTAATTCTACAAAAAGTTGAATCATTTTTCATTTCGATAGTTGTAAATGACATAAGTTAGATGAAGAAATATAGCAATATAGTGCACAATTTTCACACGAGAACGTGCGTTATTTCTACGTTTAGTGTATTGTTCTTTATTCTTAAGTTTTCAATTTAACGCATTTTTTAAATAGAAATGCACAGTGTACACGGCACAATAAATAATGTATCGCATAGTATCTGATTTAGCAGATACTTCTGCATCATTACGGATTGTAGCGTTCACTTTACTATTGATATACCAATCTTCATTAATCACATTAAACACGATGGCTAAATTCACCCTCGAATGACGATCTTCCATTAAACTGTAGACAATTACGCAGTAAATCATTCCTGCGATAGTAATTCAGGGTGGAAATGTTGTTAATTCTAATCATTGTTGACTACTGTCAGATAATGATGACTTATTGGTATTTTTAGATGAAAATGTAGATATAGAAACAAAAACGATTAATTGTTACGTGGACCGTTGTCTCGCTATAATTTTGATTATGCATTGGGCGAATTTTCGAATATTTCATAAAGTAAAAGAATAAAAGATATAACATACAATTTAAAGAAATACTTAGATTACATTTGTGGAGTAATTAACAAAATATTTTTGGTAAAATTCGAAATGAAAGGAAAAGATCACTAAGTATGAATGAAAAAAGTTCGTTGTCATTGACAATATAAAATAAAGTGCAAATATATATAAAATGGATGAAACGACTTCTAAGATACAGATTAGTAAAAAAAGTAGAAATCTCAACAAAGAAATTTTATCGTCTTTAATTTTAAATTAGAACATAAGTTGCAGAAATTCTGCTAAAATAAAAAATAATTATAATAGAAATAGAAATAATTATCAAATACTACACTATTTTACACAATTGCTTACTGGATGATGTTTAAATTTTGATTTCGTCAAGCAAACATGCACTAATTCATTTTATACATATTTTCTAATATTTTCATTTACAATATTCACGGACGAAAGTTTAAATTATATTATAGCATTTTTTAATTGAATAATTAATTCAAATGAAAACTGCAAAAGTCTCCACATTCTAAAATTCGCAATTAGTTTGTATGATTCGAGTATTTCGCAAATGCACAGGATAAAATATCGTCCCTTATAATTAGTATTTAAATCTCATCGAGTGAAAATTCTGTTTCTGGATTTATTGGATTTTATAAAGTCATATGGAACTTGCTCCCATTTCTAATTACAGATATCTCCAATTTTGCTTCACCCTTTACATTCCTATAACTTTAATGAAATTTGAATTTTCAAAAGTAATTATGAATAATTTAAAAACTTCTCTACTATCAAATTAAAATTTTAACCTGGATAGAATATATTGAGTATCGTACAAAAAAACCTAATTTTGGAGCACCATTTTTACTAATGCTTTTTGCACAATCCGATATTGGAAATACAATTTGTAATGTCAGAATCTATTAAGTTACAATTTAAAATAGACGAAAGATTAATCATGAAATAAATAGGAAATCACCGAAGCAGTGAATTAATGAAATATGAAATGCTATGAAGGCAAATATCACGGAGAAATTAGTTTACAATATGGAAAATTGTCTGAGATTTGAGTTAAAGATGGACAAACAAAGTATACAGGGTGGCTCACCACATTTTGCCATCTAGATTTGCGTTATTATTATTACTCATAACAAACAATGTTTCAGATCAAGTTGAATGGTTTTCATAGGGGCATATGCTGATGGTATATTTTTTTTGTACGTGGACGTGTAAAGGACATATGAAGGTCATTAATGTTTTTTTAAATGAAATCATATATTTTTTATTGCATCAGCTGATACTTCTCCATATTCTTTACAAAAAAGTATTAATCTATTTATATGAATAAATCATTAGTTTAGGAGATATTTTAATTCTAATTTATTAAGAAATCGTGACTTTCTGGTTAATATTATGAATTGCCCTAACTGAACAGCAAAAGATTTTCTATATAATTTGAGAGGTTACGTGTCACCAAACGAATTGTGAGTTTTTGTTATTTTTTTATTACGTAGTAACAGTGAAATTTATTCTCTGTTACGTCTCCCATATGATGAATACGACGATACGGTTGTTACGTTCCGAACAGGAATATTTTTCAAAATTTGCCTTGTAGTTCTCACCGACCGGATGTGTATCGATAATGCATATTGCATTCTGGGAACACCCTGATCGTACGCAGTAACGGTCTTTAATGTTATTAGATAGACTATCTTTTGGTGTCTAAACTAAGATTGTTAATATAACACATTGCTTCCTTGAAATCAACGTGGTCCCACGGCCAAAATCTTAGATCATACTACTTCTTCGAACCGCCAAACATAAACGAAAGTCACACTCGTGTGGTCCGATAACGCCAAGCGTTCTGGAATGTTCCTCAAGGGCCCGCGACGCAATATAGAATTGTAATAGAAATTGTCTTTGTAACATTACAATATTATATAAATTGCCCATAGTATTTCATTATACCGTTATTATAAATACGCATACGTCAATCAGTCCTACAATAGTTACAGTACCGAGCGCAATTTAACTTTAATAATTGTAAAACGAAATAGATAATGTTTCATTCTAAATTTTTATAATGTGTGCAGATTAACATTTTATACTGTATTAGTTTTGCATGTAAAAATTATTTAATAGTTAATCAACAGTCCATAGCTCAAGAGTAAAGGAAATGAACTATATAGGAAGAGAGAGAGAGATAAGAGCTGGACAAGGGAGGAACACACATGCACCCACCATCACTACCTATTTAACGAATCACGGTCTCTTACGCATTGGCCTCGCAGCCTAATTCGTTAGGCGCATATCAATGTAACATAAACAATTTCGGACTAGGCCCATTCTGGTCTTCTCCGAGAGGTGAAAGTTGCGACTCTCTTCGGTGTATAATCGCGAGGTCCGTGTCGAGAATCCGTGAAGTGGTTTAGTGACGAGTTTGTTCTTATTCAGACAAAGACTCTATCTTTACGTAAAGCTTTCGCGTTAATAATCACGTTAAATTTTTAATTCAATATATTATTTTACTTTTCCATTCAATTATATTCAATTTTATTCTTTTTAATTTTTAAAGTATAATTTTATTTTATAGTTTATTTGAATTCAGCAATTGGTCAGTTTTAAAATTCTCATTGGTTGAGTCCTTACATGTGTGTGTGTTCTTCCCAGAAACCAGGCGCAGCCGTCATTTCACATTTTGCAAAGGGAGTTGTTAATTTTAAATTCATTTAAGTACAGATATTTCGGTGAGTTGTTTCCTTTATTTTTCCAGCTATTTTATGAATTTTTCGGCAAGTAAATCTAGTAGTTAATTATTTAACTTTGGGATTTCCCTCACTGGATTATAATTTTATTTTGTATTTGAGTAATTGCTTCTCCTTCAAATCTTCGAATTGCGCGTCTCGGATATTTACAATACTTCTGTTCACTTCATTGTAATTCA